TAGTAACGTGCATTGCATTAGGGTACCCTATTTGCCAAATGAACCAAAACACACCAAAAAAGTGCATGTACCATTTCTAGCACAGCTTTGCACCAACCCAAGTAACATATGTTGTGTTAAATAGCATGTTGACACCGTGCGATAGTATGAACCAGTGCTTAATGATTTACGATTTAACCTAAAATAAAGTGATTATTAGCATTGGTATGGTAAGAAGCCTACAGCAGAATACACTGCACATAATTGACGCTGGCAGTGCTTACAGAACAATACAGACTTGTATATTTTTGGTCTATTCCTTCTGTCACAATGTTCTGTTTCGGTAACACTGAATAATATGTTGTTAGCCCACAGAATTAATATTGCACTGTATCCCATCCTCCCTATGCTCATATGTCCTCTAGGATGCCTGCTTTGCAAGTACAAAAGCTCACCTCTGTTCTTGGCCGTTTTATTTTCACCTCTTTAACCTACTGGCTGTTACTGAACTCTAGCTTTAGGAATCTGACTGCCTCTCTAGCTGCCCTCTCCTCTGATGCCCTCCAATGGAGTCACTCACCCAGATCCAGTGAATGAAAAGGAGGTAGAGTATGATACCTATACCCCACAAAGCACTTTTCAAATTTTTCCTTCACCTCCCTCTCCTCCCTCTCCTTTTTGAATTTTTTTTTTTTTTTCTATATTATATATTTTTATTAGATATTCCAGTACAAAAATATAATCGCCCAATATACAGCACAATCACATGTACATAAGTCCCATTTTACAACATCTTTTCCCCCATCCCGCCCTTCCTCCCCCTAAACCTCCCCACCAAAATACCCCTGTCCAGATCTTGTTTACGAAGTTCTTACTCCTCTTGTACGTATCTATCTATATCTGTCCTTTTCCCTCTCACAGCCACTCTTGCTTTAACACTCTCCGTCAAGCTCTCTCTAGACTTTTCCCCCTAAGCCCCAAACCAGTTCCGTGTATCTTTTGATGTTTTAAAATCTAGCCAACTCCTCTACATTTCCCTAAATTCTTCCATTTTGTCCTCCACATGACACGGCTCCTCCATCCTAAAAATATTTTCAACTCTATTCAACCAGTCTTCTATCCCTGGTAGCTCCGGAGCTTGCCAAAACTTGGGGATCAAGCCCTTAGCCGCACTGATTAAATGATATAATACCCTGTTTTTATACAGTTTTTGTCTACGGGCTCAGAATAAAATCAACACATCCACGGTCCATTTGTATAATAATCCCACTGATTTCCTGAATACAGTGAATTATTTCCTTCCAAAAATCCTGTATTTTCGGGCACTCCCACCAAGTATGTGCCATTGTACCCTTTTTCCCACAACCTCTCCAACATAAAGGTGAAACATCAACTTGCTGTTTATGTGCCACACTTGATGTTATATACCATCTCGCCAAACATTTGTAATTCATTTCTACTGTGCTCATGTTTGTCACCTCCATGTGTTAATTTAAATATTTTGTTTTGAATCTCATTCTGACTGGACTGGTTTCACATCTTCTCTGCCTAGATACCCCATTTTATCTGATTTAAAATACCCACCATCATTCTTGGTCTCAGAATAAGTAGATCTGATCTTTAGTGAGGTGTGGTGTAGAACTGAATCCCAGCAAGATTTCGCCCTATATAGATCTGCCCTCTTAAAAAAAAAAAAAAAAAAAATAATAATAATGCCTCCCTCCATGATGCCAAACTGACCTATAGTGTTTGATCTCTCCTAACACCCGCTCATCCAATTCTCATCAAATATTTCTACTTTTAACTCTCTACTTTGTCCCTCACTGATTCCACCCTGTAACTGCTCAGATTAGTGCCAGTCAAGATGAGATGAGTTCACTTTGTGATGAGATTTGCACTGTACAGATATCTCCTTAATAGAGATGAGCGAATCGAACCAGGCGAAGTGGAATTCAATACGAATTTCAGGAAAAAATTCGATTCGCGTCGAATCCGAATATTTGCCTACTTCGGGTGCGCGAATCGGATTTTTTCCCGATCAGCCGGCAAAAGTGTCCCTGCAGAGAGCTCCGCTATTTCTGACAGTTCTCTGACGTTCCTTCACATGTACAGCGGTTGAAAACATTGTATCTATTTGTTTCCATTTAGGATACAGATGTTTTTATTCGGAAACTGATGTTTCAACCGCTGTACATGTGAAGGAGAGCTGTCAGAGCAGATACACTTTTTTGACGGCTTGGAATTATTCTTATTTTCATCCTACTTCTTCTTCTTCTTCTTCTTCATCTCATCCTCATCCTCCTCAGAAGAAGATTGCCAGGCTTGGAATTTGTTATTATTCTTATTTTCATCCTACTTCTTCAGTTCTTCTTCTTCCTCCTTCATCCTCATCCTCTTGTTCTAGAAGAAGAGGATGAGGATGAGGATGAATGGAAGAAGATGGAAACAAATAGAATGAAAATAAGAATAATTTCAAGCCGGCAAAAAGTGTATCTCAGAGCTTCTCTATTTCTGCAGATACACTTAGAGGAGCTCTGCAGATACACTTTTTTGCCGGCTTGGAATTCTTCTTATTTTTCATCCTACTTCTTCTTCTTCTTCGTCTTCATCCTCATCCTCATCCTCTCCAGAAGAAGAGGATGAGGATGAAGAAGAAGAAGAAGAAGAGTAGGATGAAAATTGAATAATAAATTCCAAGCCGGCAAAAAGTGTATCTGCAGAGCTCCTCTAAGTGTATCTCTGCAGAGCTCCCCTTCTATGCATGATACTCCTTCTGTGAATTCCCTCCATTCAGCGGTTCTTCTTCTTCTCTATCTTCATCTTTCTTTCTATGGGAATTCTTCTTCAAATAGATACAATGTTTCAACACGCTTCTGTAGGAAGAAGAAGACCTTCAAGAGGAGATGAAGAAATTCTCCTTCTTCTCTCAGATCTTCATCAGACTTCTCTGCTTCACTTCCTTCTCCTGCCGGCTCATCCATTTCTTCTTCTCATCCTTCTCCTTCTTCTTCTCTCTTCTTCTCCTTCTCCTGCAGAGCGAAGAGGATGTGGATTCTCAAGAAGTCTCTGAAAATCATCCTTCTCCTTCTTCAAGCCCTTCTCCTTCTTCTCATCCTTCTCTGCAGAGCTCCTTCTTCTCCTTCTGTAGGCTCCTCATCCTTCTCCTTAGAAGAACTCTCATCCTTCTCCTTCTTCTCATCCTTCTTCATTCCTTCTTCTCATCCTTATCTCTTCCTTCTTCTCTCCTTCTTCTCATCCTTCTTCCTTCTTCTTTCTTCATCCTTCTCCTTCTTCTCATCCTTCTCCTTCTTCTCATCCTTCTCCTTCTTCTCATCCTTCTCCTTCTTCTCATCCTTCTCCTTCTTCTCTCCTTCTCCTTCATCCTTCCTCCTTCTTCTCATCCTTCTCTTCTTCTCTCAATCCTTCTCTCTCTCTTCTCATCCTTCTCTCTCCTTCTTCTCATCCTTCTCCTTCTTCTCATCCTTCTCCTTCTTCTCATCCTTCTCCTTCTTCTCATCATCTTCTTCTTCTTCATCCTCATCCTTCTCTTTCTTCTCATCCTTCTTCTTCTTCATCATCCTTCTCCTTCTTCTCATCCTTCTCCTTCTTCTCATCCTTCTTCTTCTTCATCCTTCTCCTTCTTCTCATCCTTCTCCTTCTTCTTCTTCTCATCCTTCTCCCTTCTCTTCTTCTCCTCATCCTTCTCCTTCTTCTTCATCCTTCCTTCTCCTCGTTCTCTTCTTCTTCTTCTCATCCTTCTCCTTCTCCTTCTTCTCAAATCTTCATCCTTCTTCTCCTTCTTCTCATCCTTCTCTCCCTTCTTCTCATCCTTCTCCTTCTTCTCTCATCCTTCTCCTTCTTCTCATCCTTCTTTCTCATCCTTCTCCTTCTCCTTCTCCTTCTTCTCATCCTTCTCCTTCTCCTTCTTCTCATCCTTCTCCTTCTCCTTCTTCTCATCCTTCTCCTTCTTCTCCTTCTTCTCATCCTTCTCCTTCTTCTCATCCTTCTCCTTCTCTCCTTCTCCTTCTCCTTCTTCTCATCCTTCTCCTTCTCCTTCTTCTCATCCTTCTCTTCTCTTCTTTTTCATCCTTCTCCTTCTCCTTCTTCTCATCCTTCTCCTTCTTCTCATCCTTCTCCTTCTCCTTCCTCATCTCCAAGGGCATTTAAATTAAAGGTACAGTGTTCTGCACTAATTTAAAGGCTCTCTGAAGCCTAGAAACCCTTTTTATAAGTTAACTTCGTAGCGAATTAATTCGCATCGAATCGAATTTCTTCCTGAAATTCGGCGAATCGGCCGAATCGAATTTTTGAATAATTCGCTCATCTCTACTCCTTAACTTCAAGTGGTTCTAAAGACATAAAAGGTGTGTGTGTGTTTTTGTTTTGTTTTTACCTCTAATGCATTCTCTGCATTAAAGGGTCAGTTCACCTTTGTAAAAATTAATAAATGCACATCTTTTTTTCAGGTAAAAAAAATGTGCATTTATTATTTTTTATTAGGAGCCTGCAAAGCATTGCACCCACATACAGCACATCTCAGGTGCTATGCAGGGATCTTGCAGACAGTCTGTGTAAGCTGTCTGCTCGCACCTCGTACAAGCAGGCAGTTACACACTGACTGGAAGATTGGATGAACTACCTAGAGTGCTCATCAGTGCCCTGATAGTTGATTGAGAACTACAAGCTGACCACTGCAAAAGCTGACAGAACTCATAGTTTTAAAATTCACAGAACTTTGTAAATGAATGATGTGGCTGGGTGTGCGGAAGTAAAAAACCTTCTGTGTTTTTGGGTCTGTTATTTTTTTTGTAAATATATTTGTTTGATTGTAGCTACAATGTCAGTGAGTGTTTATTATATGTGGATTTTTTTTTTTCCCCCGGTCTCACAACTTCATTCCATGTAGTAAAACTCCACAAATTAAATTCCGTAATTTTTTTTTTTCTTGTGAAGGCATTTTTGTTTATGTAAACTGTGATTTTGGGAGATTAATAACCCTTATCCAATTTTTGTTTTTCCAGTGATGAGGCCATGCGCAAAGCAGGGGTTGCTCACACCAAGTCTAGCAAGGAGATGGAAAGTCATGTTTTTCTAAAGGCTAAAACACGAGTAGGTATCATTCTCTGTGTTACTAAACACTACTTGTACCTACCTAATGAGACTGTCAACACCATAACTGTACCTAGCTTTCCCTATCCTGTGTACATATTATACTTTCCTGCATCCAGTCTTCTTTAGGACATGTTGTATGTGCAGACAGCTGGGGATATCCTGTAGGGAATTTTTCTTCTGTAAATGCTGTACTGTAATTGGTGGTGTGACCCCTTTAGAAGTGAAACTCACTGAATCATCAACCAAAAGCAGCTAGTGGTAATTTAATTTAACTTGTTTTGTTTAGTAATATTAAAGAATATGGCACTATGGACTCCTGTATGCATTCACTGATCCTAAATGGATTTTCTTTTCTAGCCAAATGACATACCTAGTTTAAAAGAGAGGTATGAGCTCCTCCCCCCCCCCCCCCCCCCCAATTATACTTGCGCAGATGGATACAGCATCGGTCCCCCCGCCGGCTCTAAGTGTGAGAACTCAGCGATCACATGATCGTTGAGTTCTCACAGCAGCTCTGAGCAGTCAGTGAGCTTTGGCTGCACCTCTCCTTTTAAGGGGTGATGAAGAGAATACATGCACAAAGTTTGTGGAGTCCTAGTTTATTCTGTACAAGTTGATTGGTTGCTATGGGCAACAATTCTGAACTTTTTAAATTTTCTTTTCCTTAGTTTTAGTGAAAAAGCCCTATGGGTCATACTCAGAGGAAATGTTTTGTGTATATGTAACTTACCAGATGTATTTATCTGCTTGTTTCTGTTTTTATTCCAGGAAGAGTATTTGTCTTTGGTTGCCAGACTTATTATTCACTTTCGAGATATCCGTAAGTCACGAAAGATGTTTTGCTAGTAATATAACCAAGTGATTTTTGTGTTTTATCATGGAAACTCTTAAGTATAGCATTAGACATAAGCCACTAGTTGGAAGCAAAAGAGAAATAAGTCTAATCTTATGCCCTTATCAAAACCAGAAATGCCTCTTTTTTTTTATGTTTCAAGCTGATTTCCATATTTCCTTTCACTTTAAATAGTTTGCTTGAACCAAACTGGTCCAAACTATTTCATTCAGTGCTTCAGTATCTCTACAGTGCCTTGAAAAAGTATTCATACCCCTTGAAATTTTCCACATTTTGTCATGTTACAACCAAAAATGTAAACACATTTTTTGGGGGATTTTATGTGATAGACCAACAAAAAGTGGTACATAACTGTGAAGTGGAAGGAAAATAATAAATGGTTTTCAAATTTTTTACAAATATCTGAAAAGTGTGGTGTGCATTTGTATTCAGATACCCCTAACTAAAATCTAGTGGAAACAATTGCCTTCAGAAGTCACCTAATTTAGTAAATATAGTCCACCTGTGTGTAAATTAATCTTGGTATAAATGCAGCTGTTCTGTGAAGTCCTCAGAGGTTTGTTAGAGAACATTAGTGAACAAACCGCATCATGAAGGCCAAGGAACACACCAGACAGGTCAGGAATAAAGTTGTGGAGAAGTTTAAAGCAGGGTTAGGTTAAAAAAAAAAAAAAATCCCAAGCTTTGAACATCTCACGGAGCACTGTTCAATCCATCATCCGAAAATGGAGTATGGCACAACGGCAAACCTACCAAGACATGGCCGTCCACCTAAACTTACAGCCTGGGCAGGGAGAGCATTAATCAGAGAAGCAGCCAAGAGTCTCTGAAGGTGCTGCTGAGCTCCACAACTCAGGTGGAAGAATCTGTCTACAGAAGAACTATTAGTCGTGCACTCCACAAATTTGGCCTTTATGGAAGAGTGGCAAGAAGAAAGCCATAGGAAGTCCCGTTCTCAGTTTGCGAGCAGCCATGTGGGGAACACAGCAAACATGTGGAAGAAGGTTCTCTGGTTGGATGAGACCAAAACTGAATGTTTTGCCTAAAAGCAAAACGCTATGTGTGCCGGAAAACTAACACTGCACATCAACCTGAACACATCATCACCACTGTGAAAAATGGTGGTGGCAGCATCATGTTGTGGGGATGATTTTCTTCAACGAGGAAAGCGAAGCTGGTCAGAGTTGATGGGAAGATGGATGGAGCCAAATACAGGGCAATCTTAGAATAAAACCTGATAAAGTCTGCAAAAGACTTGAGACTGGGGCGGAGGTTCACCTTCCAGCAGGACAACGACCTTTAACATACAACCAGAGCTACAATGGAATGATTTAGATCAAAGCATATTCATGTGTTAAAATGGCCAAGCAAAATAGGTGAGTTGGAAGCTTTGGTGCATGAACGGAATTATGATTTAATTGGTATTGCTGAATCTTGGCTTCATTTTTCACATGACTGGGTCATTAATATTCCTGGCTATGTTCTCTTTCGGAGAGACCGGGTAAAAAGGAAAGGTGGTGGTGTCTGTCTATATGTAAGAAGTGATCTCAGAGCGAGTGTGAAAGAGGACCTAGTTGATGGAGAGTGTGATGAGGCTGAAGCATTATGGGTGGAACTGTACAGGGGGGTGCGTACTACAAAGGTAATCATTGGAGTTTGTTATAGGCCTCCCAGTGTAAATGAGGAGGTGGAGACTCCGCTCCATGCACATATCGAAAGGGCTGGGACAGTGATAATAATGGGGGACTAACTAACAGGAAATTGACTGAACTTGTTAATAAAGTTAACAGTTAAAAGGCAAAAATGTATAAACCTACTACAGACCAATTTTATGGTACAGTTCAGAGAGGCCCCAACTAGGAATGCTGCTGTGCTGAATCTGGTAATCTCAAACCATGCATAGCTTATTATGAATGTCCATATAAAAGAACATCTGGTTAGCACATCTGGTTAGCAGTGACCATACCATGATTTAATTTGTTCGCTGTAAACATCAAGCACATGCGGGAAAAATAAAAATGCTAAATTTTAAGAGAGCTAATTTTCCAAGGCTGAGAGCCACTCTCCAAGACTTAGACTGGGAGGGAATATTGGCATCAATGAACACAACACAGAAATGAGAGTTCTTCAGAAAGTCTGTATGTGAACACACTGCAAAATATATTCCCATGGACAACAAATATAAAAGGCTAAAAATCAAACCTATGTGGCTTATGGCCAAAGTTAAAAAAGCTATAGATAAAAAGAAAAGAGCTTTTATTAAATATAAAAAATGAAGGAACGCTATCATTTAAACATTACAAAGACTATAAAAGAATATGCAAAAAAAAGGAAATAAAGGCCACAAACATTGAAAACGAACGACAGATTACAAAAGATAGCAGGACAAACCCCAAAATATTCTTCAAATATATTAATAGTAAAAAAGGTCAGGTCTGAGCATGTACTGTAGGCCCTTTACAAAATAATCTAGAGTGGGTGACTGGTGACAAAGAGAAGGCAAATTTAATAAAAATACCTTCTTCAGATCTGTGTACACACAGGAGGAAATAGGGGAGCTCTTGTCCATAATTGGCTTGGTATTGACACAGCTCCAGGTGATCCACATTGGCTCACAACTGATATGATCCAAACATATTTAGACAGAATAAAGCACCTGGATCGGATGACATACACCCACAGGTCCTTAAAGAATTGAGCTCTGTCTACTCAAAGCCATTGTTTCTAATTTTTAGGGACTCTTTAATGACTGGCATAGTACCACTAGATTGGCGTAAGGCTAATGTGGTGCCAATATTTAAAGAGGTCAAAATCTTTACCAAATAATTATATACCTGTTAGTTTCACTTGTATAGTTGGGAAGATATTGGAGAGTTTAATAAAAGACCACATAGTTGAGTTCTTGCTGGGAAAAAAATATTTGAAGCAACAGACAGCATGGATTCATGAAAATGGATAGAAAACTGGCTAAAAGATTTTTTCAGAGAGTAGTGGTTAATGATTCATACTCTGAATGGTCTAGGGTTGTTAGTGGTGTACCCCAAGGTTCAGTGTTGGGTCCCTTACTTTTTAATATATTTTTAAACGATATAGGGTCTGGGTTTAACCGCCGCCCACCTGCCATATAAGGAAAATGACGGGCGGCGGTTCTCTCATTCTGGGAGGATGTCATTTGACGTCCTCCCAATCTAACTACATATGCGCCCCCCCCCCCCCCCCCCTCCGGGGGCGCACGATAAGTGGTAGGCTGTGTTCTTGGGACACAGTGGATCACCAATCAGAGGAAAGAGCCGATGACGGTGGCTCTGTCATGATCAGCTGTGTCCAATCACAGCTGATCGCATGTAAAGAAGCTTATGCCGGTTATCAGCATTCCTCTCCTCGCGCTGACAGCGAGGTGAGCCAGTAAGCCGCATTCCGCAGAGGGGAAATCTACAATGATCATCAGGGCACTGATGATCAGAGTCCTCATGATCAGTGTAGCCCCATCAGTGCCACATATCAGTGCCCATCTGAGCTGCCTTTTATTGCCAGTCAGTGCCACCTAACAGTTCCAATCAGTGCTGCCTTTCAGTGTCCATCAGTGTCACCTACCAGTGCAGCCTATTAGTGGCCATCACTGCAGCCTCATTAGCGCACATCAGTGAAGAAGAAAAATTACTTTTTTACAAAATTTTATAACCGAAACTAAAACTTTTTTTTTTTTTTTCTTTCTAAAATTTCAGTATTTTTTTAGTTTGTTTAGCAAAAAATTTAAAAAACCCAGTGGTGATTAAATACCACCAAATAAAGCAATTTCTGTCTCAAAACAATGATAAAAATTTCATATGAGTACAGTGTTGCATGACCGTGCAATTGTCATTCAGTGCTGAAAATTGGCCTGGACAGGAAGGGGGTGAAAATGCCCGGTAGGCAAGTGGTTAAGAATCCTATTTCAGTCTTTGCAGATGAGACCAAGCTGTGCAGTGGAATAACGTCCTTACAGGATGTCTCCAACTTACAAGCCAACCTCAATGCACTGTTTAAATTGGGCAAGTATGTGGCAAATGAGGTTTAATGTTGCTAAATGTAAGGTTATGCACTTGGGGGCTAAGAATATACATGCATCATACATACTAGGGGGGAGTACAACTGGGGGAATCAATGGTGGAGAAGGATCTGGGAGTTCTGGTAGATCATAAGCTTAATAATGGCATGCAATGCCAAGCTGCGGCTTCTAAAGCGAGCAAAATCCTCTCTTGTATTAAGAGGTATAGACTCCAGAGAGAGATATCATATTACCCCTGTACAAATCATTAGTAATACTTCACCTGGAATATGCCGTTCAATTTTGGGTATCAATTCACAAAAAGAACATTGGGAAATTTGAGAGAGAACAGAGAAGGGCAACTAAACTGATACGAGGCATGGAGGAGATCAGCTATGAGGAAAGATTAGAGGAACTGAATTCTCTCTTGAGAAGAGGAGATTAAGGGGGATATGATCTACTTATATAAATATATCAGTGGTTCATATAGTGAACTCGGTTTAGAATTATTCACCTTGAGGTCATCACAGAGGACAAAGGGACACTCTTTACGTCTGGAGGAAAAGAAGTTTGATCTCCAAACACTGAAAGGTTTCTTCACAGTGAGAGCTGTGAAAATGTGGAATAGACTCCCTCAAGAGTTGGTTCTGGCCAGCTCAGTGGATCGCTTTAAAAAAAGTCCTGGATTCTTTCTTAGATACACATAATATAATTGGATACTAACATTTTATAGGTACAGTTGATCCAGGGAATATCCGATTGCCTCTCGGGGGATCAGGAAGGAATTTTTTTTCCCTGCAGGAGCAAATTGGTTCATGCTTTGCTGGGTTTTTTTGCCTTCCTCTGGATCAACTGTGGGTATAGGATTATAATTTTGTTTTATTTATTTTTTTGTTAATGGTTGAACTGGATGGACTTTTGTCTTTTTTCAGCCAGACTAACTATGTAACTTTGTTTGGACCAAATTAGTTCAGACAAACTATTGAAAGTAAAAGGAAACATGGAAATCGGCTTTAAAACCTAATTTTGTTTGGTTTATTTTTTGTTTGTAATCGTCTTTTTCATGTTGGTCAGATGTCCTTTATAAATTAGCCCAAGGCAAGTTACTGCATCAATTGAGTGTCTATGCCAGCAATGGGCAAACTACGGCCCGCGGGCCGTATACGGCCCGGACCTTTTAATCCGGCCCGCGGAGCTAGGCTCCCGCAAGGCCAGTGGTCGGCAAGCCGCGGCTCTTTACAAATTTAGATGCGGCTCTCCTGTGTGCCGGGCGCCCGCTCCCCTCCCTCCTCTCCTCCTCTCCCCTCCCTCCTCTCCTCCTCTCCTCCCTCCCCTCCCCTCCTCTCCTCTCGGATGGCCGCCCCCCCTCTCGGATGGCCGCCCCCCTCCCTCCTCTCGGACGTCAGGACTCTGCAGCTGTCAGGATGTAGGCGGGGGCAGCGTGACAACTCCTCTCACAGTCCTCCCTGAAGACCAGAACGGCGCGGGAATACGAGAGGAACGCGCGGACCAAAGGTAAGTGAATTGACACAGGGGGGGATTTACTATATGGGGGGATGAATTACTATATGGGGGACTTACTATATGGGGAATGAATTACTAATGGAGGACTTACTATATGGGAATGAATTACTATATGGGGGACTTACTATATGGGGAATGAATTACTATATGGAGGACTTACTATATAGGGAATGAATTACTATATGGGGGACTTACTATATGGGGAATGAATTACTATATGGAGGACTTACTATATGGGGAATGAATTACTATATGGAGGACTTACTATATGGGGAATGAATTACTATATGGAGGACTTACTATATGGGGAATGAATTACTATATGGGGGACTTACTATATGGGGAATGAATTACTATATGGAGGACTTACTATATGGGGAATGAATTACTATATGGGGGAATGAATTACTATATGGGGGATGAATTACTATATGGGGGATGAATTACTATGTGGGGGATGAATTACTATTGGGGGAATATGGGGGATGAATTACTATGGGGGATGAATTACTATGGGGGATGAATTACTATATGGGGGACGAATTACTATATGGGGGACGAATTTACTATATGGGGGACGAATTACTATATGGGGGGACGAATTACTATATGGGGGATGAATTACTATGGGGGATGAATTACTATATGGGGGGATGAATTACTATGGGGGATGAATTACTATATGGGGGATTAATTACTATATGGGGGATTAATTACTATGGGGGATTAATTACTATGCTTACTATGGGGGAATATTACTATACTTACTATGGATGACACATACACATCATTCATCTACTCTTGGTCCGGCCCCCCCGGGTCCAATATATGAACCCATTGCGGCCCTCAAGTCAAAAAGTTTGACACCCCTGGTCTATGCTCATTTCTCTCACAAAGTATAGTTTCTATGCACCTTGGCAGATTACCACACCTTTTGGATTTAAAGTATTTTTATAAGGTTAATCTGTAAAAATATGCAATTATTAACACTCCCCTGCTCCATAAAATCTCTATATTCTTTCCCTTTTCTGATATGGTAGATTTGTATGCAAAGATAATGGGGTAAGGGGTTAATTCTGAAATAAATGCACATTCTTTTTGCAGGTAAAAGAAAAAAGTTCATTTTATTTATTTATTTTTGGAGCCTGCAAAGCATTGAACCCGTGAGCAGCAGATAGCAGGTGAAATCGGGGTTCCTGCAGACTGTCATCGTAAGCAGTCTGCTTGTAGAGGCAGACATTTGCACAAAGACAGGAAGAATCAATGATTCTATCTATCTAGAGCACTCACCAGCACCCTGGCAGCTCATTAGAAACTACAAACCGTCAGCTGCAGTTCTCCCGTTAACAGAACTCTGTAAATGAATGACGTGGGCTGAGTCCCACACAGCCGCTTTTTTTTTTTTTTTTTTTTTTTAAATTGAGACTGTGGGCGTGGGGAGAAGGGGGGGCTTGAGGCTGAGAGCTGCAGGAATGGGGACATGTTATGTTTCACCCTAAATATGGGTGGAGCATGTAACATGTTCCTGAAGGTGACTTTATCCTTTTAAACTTAATTCTAAGGTGTTTAGATTACTCCTGATATTCCGTCACAATCCCACAGTATAATTTACTTATAAGGGGTTGTCATATGAAGTGTTTGCTATAGGAAGAACAGTGGCCAATCTGCTTCTGTCATTTTATGAAGTCGAAGTCTGACAATGAAATGAAAGTCTGGTTATCAGTGAAAATAAATTTTCTTCAAAACACGCTCTTCATTCAACAGATCATAGCTGCTCATTTTATTGGTTTTCCCGTATATCTTTCTGACTAATACAGGTAGAATGCCCCCAGTCGTACTTGGACATCCTAGGTTAACAATTTAACTGTGACTATATTACATTTTTTTAGTCTAGCACCTATGGCCAGTAGTTACATATTGAGGTTGATTTACTAAAGGCAGACTGTGCAGTTGCTCCAGAGTGTAGTAAATGAGCAGAGGCTCTGGTGACTTCCATCATCAAATCATGTGCAATTAAAATTTCCTTGCACGCGATTGGGTTTTCTTTGTAAAGTGGAACTTTACCTCATTTACTAAGGTCTGGAGCAACTGCACTTGCAGTGTGCAACTGTACTTTGCAAAGTGCACAGTCTATTTTCCTTTAGTAAAACAACCCCATTGTCTAGTGTTAGAAACTCTCTTCATCTATGTTTTATATGAACCTTTGCATGGGAATAGTGTTGTTTGTTGTTGACACTTCTAATGTCCTTCCTGCTGTATCTTGCCAATTGACAAAAAAATGCTAATTTACAGTAAAGAGGTATGTACTATAGATTATAGCAGTAATTAAAATTGTAGTAAAGTCCATCATGCTTTTTTATACCTACAGGTAAGCCTATAATAAGGCTTACCTGTAGGTACAGTAAATATCTCCTAAATGTGCACCGTTTAGGAGATACTTTAGTAGCAGCTGGTGATGTCACTGGCGCACGCGCACTGAGATCTGAATGGACGGTGACGTCACCACGGCTCCGCCATTCAAATAGCCAAAGCCAATGAACCCTGAAGGGAGACTGGGTGAAGATGGCAGTGTTAGGACCCTTTTACAGTGCACCGCTGGAATGCTTAGATTTCAGGTAAGTCTGTCAGACTGTGCGTATTAGCACCTGCATTAGCCCAATCTTTTCTTTCTTTTTTTTTTACTACTACTTTAACATGTATTTGGAGCTAGCCTTTGGATTGGAGACTGTTAAGTTTGAATTTTCATTTTACAGATAACAAGAAGTCCCAGGCATCAGTAAGTGGTAAGACTTCTTAATATTTTGACTTAAGCTTCCTATACATTTCAAATGGTTACACAACTGCATTCAGGAGAGTTCATCTACAATACTCGTTAGAATTCCACTGTGCCCTTGCAAGCGACAATTTATTGTACCTGTGTGAAACGGGTACATGAATTTGGAGCAATCATCACATGTGGAGGCACACTGTAGCAGGGAGTGTCCATAAGGACATTCCATCCTTAGTCTGCCTCTGCTCTTTCCCCACTAATGCACCTGTCAAATATCGCAGTGGCCGAGGAATTCTAAAGCTGGTTGGCCGGAGCCTGATGGGAATTCAGAGACACTAGTTCCCCTTCAGGTCCATTCTACATGTGATTTACCGCAGGCAGTGGGTGAAACCCTAGTCAATAGACAGCCTAGAATTGACTCACTGGCTGCTCTTAGTCACAGGGAGAGAGCAGACTATATCATGATGGGTTGTTGGCATCTTCGGTTCCCAATCTGGCTCATCCACTGTCAGCACCACTGGTTGCTTGGAGCCTGTTTGTGAAACTGAAAGCGTCCTTAACAGGGCACTTTGCCCATCTGTGTATGCCCAGTTTAAGTTGGTCTTAATTACCTCCAGTTTTGTTATTTATGAAGCGGAGGTAAATCTTTGAATTTGCTGTAGCCATAGCTATTAAGAAATAAGGCTTAGTTTACACGGACTGCTGCTCATCTGAAAATGATCATCACTCAGATTACTTTTCAGAGGCGTTTGACAGGCAGTAATGAGGCAATCTGCACTGTACGCATTTGCAGTTCTGCCCCATTAACTTTCAGGCCACATTCGGTGGCCAATATGACGGGGGTATAATAACTGCCGCAAAGTTGTGCCGCTGGAGCATGTGTGCACTCATGGACCCTGGCTACATAGCTTAAGGGGGAGAGGCAGATGGACTGTAAGATTGCAGCTCAGCTGTGTGTTTTCACAGCCCCCAACTTTACCAATAGGAGCCCTAACTGAATCTGGTGCCTGTGTCATTAAAGCTGTCTTGTGTCAGGGCTTTTTTTAATCTGGCACACTCTATTTTAAAAGGCCCTATGACCAGAAGAGTGTTTGTAAGGACTTTATTAAATTCTTTCCACTGTAGTTTTAGAAAAGTATGTGCTTCTGAAAGCAAACTTTCATTTATGGTATAAGACACTTTCATTGTCTGGTTGTGTGGGTTAACATTCTCTAGTCTTGACCTTCTTCTTTTTTCTTTTCTTTTCTTCTTCTTCCACAGACCCAATGAATGCCTTACAGACTCTGACTGGTGCAGCTCCTGTTGGTGCACAGGGGATACCCATGGGTGTTCGCCCTCCTGGGGCACAAATGGCAGCCATTGGTGGAATGGCACAAATGGCACAACAAATGACCCTTCCTGGTCAGCCACAGCAAGGTGCATCGGGTATGCCACCACATGGAATAACAGGGGTATCAGCTGGAAACCAGCCTAGTAAGTAACATTTTCTTTTAGTTTTAGATGGAAGAGGAAAGGTTAAGCCATTTGTCAAATTTGTATTTTTGTTTTTGTCTCCGCTGTCACCCTCTCTTTTGGTGACCTTTGTTACAGAGACCGTGAAGGGAAATCCCAATATTTTAGAGTTATCCAGGCTCCTCTCAGATATCACTTGGAGATGCTTGTTCTGTGACAACTTTCAAAGAAGGGACTTCACTTCAGAGAGAGCTTCTCTCATTTCCTCTGGTCTCCAGGACAGGAGTAGAAAATAAATCTTCCAAGGGGGACACTGGTGACAAAAAATAACCTGATATGAGTTTTTACTTCAGCTAGAAGGGTTTTGCCTATTACATTCACTTTATAATATTGCTGTTTACACTTTATTTGAACTTGTTGCTTGCTTATTCTGAGTCAGCATTTTGAAGCTGTAATGTTCTATGGACAGCCAGGCAACCAACATTTTAAAAAGCAGCCTAGTAATGATTGTCCCAGTTTATTTGAGGTTCTGTGGGTGTAGCTGTGTGTTGCCGTGGCTTTTGATATAACATTTATTCAGCTTTTAATAGGCAAATAATTTCATAACACCTTGCCGACCCCTCCTGATGGCCCTTTAAGTGGATAATAATACCAGGAAGCGGAGTTCCTTACTATGTGACTGTGACTGGCTGTCACAGTGGTCACATGATTTGTAGCCTGTCCCACTGGCTCCTACCATAACAGGAAGAAAGTCAGAGGGCGCTTCTGCTCGGATAGACCAATAGCTTCCTGGAGATGATCAACTCTATGTAGAAGACATCTGGAATAAGCACTAGGCAGCACTTTCAAGAGCAGAAGCAGAACTCTGTATAGATATGGAAGGAGACAGAAAGGCGCTTCTAAGTGCAGTATTCCACATGTTTTATTCAAGGAGAATGGTTTAAAACACTCCCCGTATCAATGGGTGAAAAGTCTCATCAAAGTATTACTCCTGTGCGTGGTTCCTGTCACTGCATGTCTCTCTCGCGCTGTGTTGACGAACAGCTGCAGTGGGAGCAGACAGCACAGGTCCAAGATGGCCACCGCTCTTCTGTGATCAGTCGTGTAACGCATGCCATCGGCGTGGAACACATTGGTCGGAAGTGATGTCAGGAGGGGGCACTGATGCGTTTCTGTGCATGGGCGGAAAGCTCCTTCATCAAGACCCAACCCCCAGTATGGATGAGCCGCAATATATAGTGGGAAGGGGGGGCAGACACAGGGAGGCGGCTCCGCTACCATTCTGTAACAAGGGGAGGGCGGGAGGAGGCAGACGCAAAGAAGTGGCTTCGCTCACATTCTACAATGGGAAGGAGGGTGCTATAATTCTCCGTTTGAAAATAGAAGTGGAACCGCCTCTGGACGCCCACCCCTTCCTGTCACAGAATCATAGCCCCCTCCTTCCTAATTATAGAACATGTAAGGAGCCACTTCTTTATGTCTGCCTCCTCCTGGCCTCCTACCTTGTTATGGAATGGTAGTGGAGCTGCCTCCCTGTGTCGTCCTTCCCTTCCCGCTATAAATTTGCAGCCCCTCCTTACTGGGATTAGGTCTTGATGGAGCCTTCCGTGCATGCTCAGAAACGCGTCACCGCCCCCTCCTGACGTCACTTTCGGCTGATGCGTTCCACGCCAACGTCGTGCGTTCCACGAGTGATCCCAGAAGAGCTGCAGCCATTTTGGACCTGTGCCCTCTGCTCCCCCTGCAGCTTCTGTTCAGCACAGCACGAGAGAGACATACAGTGACAGGAACCCCACACAGGAGTAATACTTTGAGCCTGTTTTTACACCCATCATTCTGACGGTGTTTTTAACTGTTCTCCTTGAATAAAGCATGTGGAATACTGCACTTAAAAGCGCCTTTTTGTCTCCTTCCATATGCTACCATAATAGGAACTGCTGGTGACGTCTCGTGTGTTGCGAGTGTGTGGCAGCCTGACGCTAAGGTAGTAATGAAGGTAAAAAAAGAAAACATGATATACTTACCTGATCTGTGAAGTGGTTTTGCCCAGAGCAGCCCTGATTCTCTTCTTCTTGGGTTCCCCGCTAGCATTCCTGGCCTCTACCTCCTGCCAAGTGCCCCCTCAGCAATCTGCTTGCTGTGTGACATGCATGCAGGCTCGCTCCTGACCCGCTGCTCTGCTTGTCCATCTACACACAGAACTGTGGATTGGCTGCAACCCCCTCTATCCTCCTTGGCTCAGACTGTGATTGACAGCAGCAGGAGCCAATGGCTCTCGCTGCTATCTAAGCCAGCGAGGAGGGTGAGTCCCTGGATAGCTGAGGCTCTCGTGCACATCGCTGGATCCAGAGGGGGCTCAGGTAAATATTAAGAGAGGGGCTGCTGCACACAGAACTTGTTCTTAACTTCATGCATAGAATGCATGAAGGTAAAAAAAAACCTTGGGCCTTTACAACCACTTTAAAGCCAGCCCACTGTGCAGCCACCTACACATAGTGTGCGTGTGTAATATATATATATTTTTTTATATTACACACACATTTTGTGTTACTAAGCTTTTGATCCTGATTAGAAAAGGCATCTAACATAATGCAGTCACCCGTAGCTACTAACCAGTAGTTCTTATTAGTTGTCTCCATATTTCTGAATAGTTGTTCATCTACTATGGAGTAGGTTAATGTCTTACGTTTCCTTTCTATATCTCTTAGCCCAAATGCAGCTCCAGCAAATGGCCCAGCAACAGCAGCAGCAGTTTCAGCAGCAGCAGGCAGCCTTACAACAACACCATCAGCAGCAACAACAGCAGCAATTCCAAGTATCTCAGCAAAGTGTTATGCAACCACAGCAGCAGCAACAGTTTCAAATGGCAGCAGTAGCTGCAGCTCAACAGCAGCAGCAACAACAGCAGGCACAACAGCAGCAACAGGCACAGCAGCTACAAGCTGCAGCCCAGCAGCAACACATACTGAAGTTACAGATGCAGCAGCAACAGAGTCAGCAGCAGGTAATACTTGGTTATAGCTTAAACTATGATTGAGCTACAGTGAAAGGCTAAGTTCACCTTTTGGGAAAAAAAAAATTAAATGCACCAATTTTCTTCTTTCAGGAAAACAAAATGTATTTTTTTCTCACATAGAACTGGAAAGCATTGCGCCTGTGATCAGTAGATCACAGGTGCAATGTCAGGCTCCTGTAGACAAACCCTACAGCTTTCAGCCCATATCTCTGTACAGGCTGTCAGTTTGAAAGCTGCTTGAAAGGGCTTGTGAATGATCTATGAGTTCGCTCATCAGCACCCTCACAATTCAGGGATGACTTTCCCTGCGTTTCTGCGGGTAAGGCAGCCCATTGAAATGAGTGGGCTGCCCTACACACAGCCGCACAGATGTGAACCAAAGGCTTTTTCACCTGTGAGGTTGGAGGGTAGTAATACCATGCAATTGAGCTGCTTTTACCACCCACAACTGCTCCCCCTTTAGCTGCAGAAGCAGCAGGTGGGGGTTTACACATGCTGTGGTCACAGCTGGAAGTATACCTCCAGTTGAGTGGGGTTGAACTACAACCACCCTGCAATTGTGCATTACATGTGGTTGTGGTGTGGCGATGCTGCTTTTTACAGGGTTAAAACAGGTGGTTAGGAGGTAGCATATTGCCTCTTTACCACCTGTCAAATGCCTCTGAAAAGTGATCTGAGCATGGATTGCTTTTCTGAAGAGCAGCAGTCCTTGCTGCTATTATGAACAAGTCCTACAAAAGCAGTTCTGAAAGGACAGAAATAGGGGTCAAGATTAAAATAGCCTTTATGCTGTGTTAGTGTATTAGTATGCTGTAAAATGTCTGTTTTACACTTTTGTGTATTTACAGAGCATGCTGCAATATGGTTGTGGTTTTACTATTCCTGAAAATTTTAGGGGCCCAATTATTTAATAAACAGCTTTATGGCTTTTCTATTAGAAACTACTTCAGCACATTCATACAGCACTGCTTTGAATGTGCTTTGCGTTTTCTTTGCTTTGGGACGCTGAGGCACATGAACCCTCATTTATTCTAATGTATAAATTACAGGTATTTATGTAGTGCTGAAGATTTACACATAGCTTTACATATTGTACATTCACACTAGTCTCTATCCTCAAGGATTCTATAATCTGAACATTAATGGGGGTTAAATGTGTTGGTGTTGGGAGTACCTGGTAAAACAAGCCCTATCCACTGTAAGGACTTAAAGTGAGCATTTAATTGGTGTTCTATTATAAAAAAAAAAAAAAAATTATTTATTTTTATTTTCTCCTAAGGTTGTATCTATATTCTAGATCTGCTGGAACAAAGGTTGGACACCTGTGTTTGGGCATATTTATATAACCCAGGTTGTTGATTATAAGTGTGCTTGACTTAAGCATTTTAAATTGAGATGCTGAACTTGTGTTTAGAGATGTTTAACCATTTGCTGCCCAGGGCAATTTTCACATTTTCCATATATATCTTAAACTAGCATATTTTTTTTTTTTTGCTAGAAAATTACTTCGACCCCCAAACAGAAATCAGATATTTTCTGAAAGCAGAGGTGCTGGAGAATAAAATGGTGGCTGTTGCAATTTATGTTGTGCTATATTTGTACAGCTGTTTATTAAATGCAAATTTTCAGGAACAAATAGACTTAGAGCAGAATTAAACCCAATCTTTAAACTCCAGCTCATTTAATGCTACTAAAACAGATGTTTCATTGCTCTTAAATATTTTTTTAAATGACATACCATGTCCTTGTAATTTTCAAATGTTGTTTCCCCTCAATCTGGTTGCGCACGCTCAGTTTTATGTTCATTTCCAGCACCTTCTTCTAGTGCTGGCATTCTCCCGTAAGTGTGACGGCTTCTGTCCTCTCCAAGCGTCCTGTACAGGCTCAAACTCTTGCGATACTAAACTGTCGAAGATCAGCTTAATGCAGGGTACACACTATAAGTTTGTACCACTGGGTTAAACAGAAAAAAACCTTACAGGTCACTGTACCTACACAAGCAATGGTAGTGCAGCAATCTCCGCTGTGCTATTGTGTTCTGACAGAGGGGTCTGCCCTCCCCTGAAAGAACACACTGATCAGCTCTGGCAGCCATTTGCTGCTACTGCTGGTCAGATGCTAGTTTTCCAGAATGCCCATTTGACAGAAGCCGGTTGAAAGACCAGAGCTGTACACATGGGCCGAATGTCAGGTGGCTCCTGCCGAATAAATCGTTTTTGGCCGATTTCCGGCCCATGTGTACCCATCTTAAAGCAGAACATTACCCATAAAAACCTGATATAAATAGTGTTCTTTAGCAAAGAACATACATTCGACTTTAATAATTATGCTACCAATACTAGTATGTGCTGTATCTTACCACCAGAATTGTTCCTGTTTCTTCTTGTTGGGGCTGCCATTTTGCTGAAGCCCAGAGCCGCTGAACAGCATTAAATCTTTAGGCTGTCAACATTTCGGCCTCTAGATTTTCAGCCTTCCTGGCAGGCATAACACAATGGTTACTGCTAGGTCTATAACCACTGGCAGTAATTAAATGTCAAAAAATCTGACTAGGCCGGTTGTACCCAAGTCGATTGACAGATCGATTTGGGTAGAATCAGCCTGTCCTTACATAGATCAAATCTGGGCCGGTCCCTGCTGAACTGATTGAATTTTGATCCGTGTATGGCCACGCTTTAGGAATATTATTTATATTACTGTTTTTTGTGTATATGCATATTATCAGTGAAACACATCTCACAAAGACTGAGGAATGTCCAGGAGTGAATTGGCTGTCATGCAACGCAGTGAGCGTGATCAGTGTAAAGTCGGTAATTGTGAATAGTGCAGGGATATGGCAATGCTTACTGCAGCAGCATCTATATCGGCAACCTATTGCATAATATACATAGCATTCCAGCAATCCAATACTGCCATATCACTATATACTTACATATTTGTTTTGCTGGCTGCAGTCTGCTGCTAGTAATTACCTGCTTTTCACTGAACTATTTACAATTGCTGGCCTTTCATTGCAAATGCTCCTTGTGTTCCATGACCGCTAATTCACTCTGGATATTTCTGATATTTTGTGATATGTGTTCACTGATAGTATGCATATGCACAAAGAATAGTAATATAAATAACTTTCCTAAGTGCCATGATCCCATTTTGTGTGAAAGTCAGTGAAAAGACAGTAATTATTAATAGCAGGTAATTACTAGCAGCAGACTTCTCCCCGTACTTCTGTCACAGGGAGAGGGAGGGCAGCGGGTGGTGGCTCCAGCATTGGGAACATGTTACATAGTTGGTAAGGTTGCATAAAGAAACCAGTCCATCCAGTTCAACCCGTGTGGGTGTGTTTATTTTAAAGCTCATATTCCTGTATATTGTGTTCTCTAAGAAGCCCATCCAAGAGTTTATTGAAACTATCAATACTTCCCGCTGATGACACTAATTGTGGAAGTGAATTCTACATCCGCTGACATTGAAAACCATCCTACGCAGTTTAAGGCTAAACAGCTTCTCCTCCAGTTTCAACAAGCAGCCCCACGTCATCTTATATTCCCTGAAACTGAATAGTTTGTGTTTTTTATGCCAGAATCACCCGTGGGGTACTTGTATATTGCTATCATATCTCCCCTTAAGCGTCTTTTCTCCAGGGAGAATAGGTTTAATGTTTGTATTTGTTCTTCATTACTGAGTTCCTCCAATCCCTGTATTAACTTTGTTGCTCTGGACTCTGTCCAGTTCCAGCACATTCTTCCTGAGGACTGGTGATCAGAACTGGATGGCGTACTCAAGATGTGGCTGAACCAGAGTTTTATAAAGTGGCAGGAATATAGTTTTATCTCTTGAGAAAATTCCCTTTTTGATGCATGCTAATAATCTGCTAGCTTTGAATGCTGCAGCTTGGTATCGCATGTCATTGCTGAGTCTGTCATCTATTCGTACCCCCGGAACATTTTCCATCCTGGACTCCCCCAGAGGTTCTCCCCCTAGCATGTAATTTGCATTCATATTTTTAGCCCCCAAGTGCATTACTTTACATTTTTCTAACATTAAAACTCATTTGCCATGTATTTGCACACCCCTTAATTTTATTGAGGTCTTCTTGCAAAGTTTCTGTATCCTGCTGTGAAGTTATTGTCTTACTTAGTTTTGTATCATCTGCAAACACTGAGATTGATATTTATATCAACCTCTATATTTTTTTTATGAATAAATTAAACAGAATTTGTCCAAGTACAGAGCCTTGGGGTACCCCACTTACTACTCCAGTCCAGTCTAAGTATATATTATTTATTACTACCTTTTGAACACGCCTCTGTAACCAGTTCTCTATCCATGTACAAACCCTATGATCCATCCCTACAGACCTCAGTTTGTAAATTAAGCATATTTGGGGGACTGCATCGACTGCTTTTGCAAAATCAAATATACACCACATCCACTGGTTTTCCTTCACTTCCTTGTAGAATGTTAACAGATTGGTTTGGCAAAAGTGACCCTTTGTAAAGCCATGCTGATTACTACAAATGATATTATTTTCTTCAGCAAATGTTTGGTTCTGGTCCCTTATCGCCTCCAAAAATTTACATACTAGCGATGTTAGACTGACTGGCCTACAGTTCCCAAGTATATATCTCCTAAACCTATATATCTATATCTTTTTTAAACATTGGAACCACATTGGCTCTTCGCCTACCCTGGTACCATGAGTTCTTTTAGGACTCTGGCTGAGTTCTAAGCCAGGTGTAATCCATGGTCCCTGTGATTTATTTGTGTGTAAGCTTTTTAAGACTTTTATAGACGCTGGCTTCTGTTAGCCACATTCTATGATGCGTTACTAGTGATGCAATCTCTACTATTCCCCTCTGTTTCCTTTGTAAAAGGAAAGAACATATTTAGTTCAGGCGCCTTTTCTTTATCATTTTGTAACCAACTTTTCTTTGTCAACTTTTGTGGGGCCAATATGTTCTGACCTCACTTTTTTACTGTTAATATATTTAAAATATTTCTTGGGATTTTTTTTTACTGTCCTCCGCTATGTGTCACTCGGTCTATTTTAGCCGCCCGGATTGCGCTCTTACACATCTTATTGCATTCCTTGTAGTCTTGGGATGCCGACATAAAAAAGCCCTAAATGCCATAAAAACGGGTGGAACATGTAACATGTTCCCAAAGGTGAACTTATCCTTTTGAAAGTGAGTAAAAGGCCTGGAGAAGATGGATATGCAGCACTCTTCTATAAAATAAAAAAAATTCTGACTCCTACCCAACCCCCACCTGCGATCGGTCTTCAATTTCTTCAAGACCGGGCAGCCTATTCCTTCCGACTCTTTGAGGGCCAACAAGGAAAATTACAACTTCTCCTGGTCAACCTCCCTTCCGTATCGTTGCATTCAACTGACCACCTCTTTGGACTCCCTATACCAAGCGAATTATCCTCCTCTGTTCAAGGATTTGGCTGACTTTTTGACCTCCTAGTCATCTTTACAGATCTCCTGGTTTGACAGGATTCATGCCTTCCACGTGGCATATTTATTGAAATTTCTTTTCTACTTTAGATACCTGTACCTAACCATATCTTGCAAATCGAACACCATAAATTGCTCCATTTTATTTGGCACAGCTGTAGACCCAGACTGCGTGTTTTAGTTTTTAATCGCCGCTAACTGGCAGGTGGCCTAGCAGCACCCTATCTTTTGTTATTACACTGCAGTTGTTATTGTTAGTTGTTTTTACACTGCAGCAGAAATTGCCCCTCTTGTATATTCTCACACCACTGCCAAGATGCCCATCTGGGTTCACCTGGTCATAGCTGAACGTTAACCCCTACGCATCCATAATCTTCTGTGGACTCCCCCTTGTCATAGGCCTGATTTCATCACTGCTGCACTACCTATGCCAATGGAACTCTCTCTTGACTTACCCCAGGCAAACCTTCCTTCCCTGTTTTCTTTTTTAATCTCTGGCTACCCTCGTTCATTCTCTCCCAATTTTTTTTTTTTTTTTCATTCATTATTATCCTAGCACTTCCTCCATGAACCGATTCTTCTACCTCCTTACCTCCAAAGATGTGCCTTTTCAGATGGAGCACTCCCCATTGACCCTCTCAGGGCTCCTATTCCCTTTACTGGCCATATGGTACCTGGCATCTTATTGTTCATGTCACTTTGTTCTCGCTCATGCCTTAAGCTGGCCATAGACAGTTTGCATCTTGGCCGGTTCAGCAGGTACTGGCTGAGATGCGAACCATATATGGGCAGGCTGAATGTACCCAAGTTGATTAATCAACTTGAGTACATCCAGCCTGCTCGATTTTACATGAAAATATTGCTAGCTGCTGCTTTGCCTGTGGGGACAGCTTCTTGTCCTGGCTCAGCGGGAGGGATTCACCTGTCAATACTCTGTGTTGATGGGGAAATCAAGTGAATTTTTTTTCTTGCAACCTGTGGTTTGTTTGCACATTGGTTTGTAAAGAAAATCTACAAAAACCCAATAAACCTTTTGTGAAACAAATCTGTTTGTATTATTGGCTGCAGTCTTCTGCTAGTAATTACGCTTTTCACTAAATTGTTCATTTACCAAATCTCCATTAATAATGTTCAGTGTTCAAACTCTGCTCAGCAAGATCTTTACTGTTCTGTTTGTAGGCATATTGGATTTTCCTATTATTCTCCATTTCAGTTATTTCTCCTTTCCTTGATGTTTGCTTTATACTATCCTGGAATTTTTTAACATCGGATGTATTTGTATATGTTATGTTTTTTGTATTTTGGAAAAAACTTAGCTATCAGGGGTCTGTTTAGACCTCTGATATTTCACCAAACCCCCCAACAATGATATTTAAAAAAAAAAAAGTAAAATAAAAATTGTAAAAAAAAATTATAAAAAAATAAAATTATTTCGGGCGTGTGGTGCATACAGAGTGCAGATTTCAGGCGTGCGGTGCATACAGAGTGCAGACGTACAGACTTCCAGTACCTGTTCTCGGACAAAAAAAAGCCCTGGGATTTTGATTTTGTTTTCAGATCAGGGGTAGAAAGTATACCACCTTTAAAGCCTAGTAAACACTAAGAGAAAATTGGCCAAAAAAACACGTTTTTGGAGAGTTTGTCCAATAATCTGATCTGATTGTTTTCAGTAGCCAATCATAACAGTTTATGCAAAATTATCTGAAAGGACGAGCACGAAAATTTTTCTCATAAGATAACTGAATGAACGATTTTCATGTAATCGGTTCAGTATTCATCTGTAAAAAAAAAAAAAAAAAAAATCAAGTGACCAATACCATGGATGCTTAAAAACAAAACAAAATACAATACAATGCAACACAAAACTTTACATCAGCGCGGGAAGTTGTATTCGATCTTACAAGAAATTGCTAACTCTAGTCACATGTTCTTTTTTTATCGATCTGAGATGCATGCAACCCCCCCCAAAAAAAAAAAATCATGATCATTTATGCAATATTCCCATTGTGTGTTCAAGGCTTTACTTTGAAAATAAATCACAGTGGTCAAATGCATCAATCAGCCCCTGGGGGAGCTAGAGAGCAGAGAACTGTTCTGTATATCAGATTTGTATGAAGTAGACGTGTGGAGCGACAGCACAAGAGAACAAACTGCTGAAGAAATAAATTGAGGCATTTTCCAGAGAGCTTTTTTTTTTTTTTTTATAAAATGTGAGACGGTGTATGAGAAGCGAGCCGGTCACTGATGCTAAACTGCCATTTTCTGCTCTATAAACAAGTTTGGGAGAAAAAGTACAGTTGGACTGAGCATACACAGGAGTTTGAAAACCTCAGCTGTGGGCTATGAAGCCAACAAGAAGGATAAGGCAGGGACTTTTCAAACTTGGTTCTGTGACAGAGGGCTTGCTGCAGCTCATTTCATTTTGGGCACCATTTTATTTTCAAGCAATGAAGTATTACTAGTGGTAATATTTAATAGTTATGTTTGATGTAGTTTATTCAAACCTGTAAACATGTGGCTGTGTTTAGTTCTGCTTTAAATGAGTTTTAGTGCACACAAACACAAAGTAATACCCAATTTCTTTGGTAAAATATAAAAGATGTTACGTTGGGTAAATAAATACCAAACGTGAAGATTTAAAAATTGCTCACACTTGTGAAATGGGTGACAAGCTACAGTACCCACAATTGTCAATAGGCAACGCTTTAAAAACCTTTACAGGTTATTAGTTAAATGTGAGCTATTGGGCTAGACTACCAATTACATATGCATGCCAAACTTGTGTGCATTTGCGCAGGAGCACATATGACAGGGGTGCTTTTAAAACATTTTTGTGATTTTTATTTAAAGGATAAGTTCCCCTAATATAAATAAATGCACATCTTTGTAGGTAAATGTGCGTTTTTTTGTTTTGTTTTAGTTTTTTTTTTTTTGAGGAGCCTGTAAAGCATTGCACCCACGATCAGCAGATCACTGGTGCAATGCAAGGTTCCTGCAGACTTACTGTAAGCTGTCTGCTTGTACGGGCAGGCAGTTACATAGTGACTGGGACCATCATTGAACTACCTAGTGCGCATGCCAGCATTCACAAAACTCTGTAAATGAATGAAGGGGGCGGCAGGGCGGAGCCCCTCTTGGCTATGTTTTTCTTTTTAAATTGACAGTGGGTGTGGGGAGAAGATCCCTGGCTTGCTGTTACTAGAAGGTAGCATATCGGGGAGAGGCTGCAGCAGTGGGAACATGTTACACGCTAAAGCCAGGTGGAACATATAACGTTCCCAAAGATGAACTTGTCTGTTTTTTTTTTTTTTTTTTTTTTTTTTTTTTTTTTACACTTTCTTTTATCACAAACCGTAAACAAGACTTTGGGCAGTGGCAAGTACTTTTCATGGAGACATCTGGGGTCTATTAAACCCCTTATGCCTCCTTTTCCCTCTAAGGCAGATGATCAAACACAAATCTGAAGTTCTGAAACCAGAAGTGACTAAATCTTTTGTGCTTCCAACTTAATTCATCACAGAGGAGATGGATGTTCCTCCATCTCCTCTGTGGGTGGTCGACCTGTTGGGACGGGAGAGCTTGGGAACAGCAGGGAGGCTCTGCAGCACTGTGATCACTCTTACATCAAAGCTGATTACCAACACCAAAAAAAAAAATAATACAAAAGTTATGGCTGAAGCTGCAGCCATTATCCTGGTATAACCACTTGGAGTCCAGGATGTATATATACGTATGCTGGACGGCAAGTGGTTAAAGATGCTCCGTTATAACAGAATATGGAATTTTTTTTAAATGTCAGTGTTTTTCATTTGTAGGGTAAATATATTCTAAGACTTTGTATTAATAGGATCTTGTCAAGTTTTGTTCCTGTTTCATGTTACTTCAATTGTTTTCTTTCTTTAGCAGCTGCAGCAGCAACAGACACCACTAAGATTTCCTCACATGCAGCAAATACAGCAACAGCCAGTTCAGCAGGTCATGCAGCAACCTATGCAGCAGCAGCCCCAACTGCAGCAACAGCAGCCACAGCAAGTGATGCAGCTCCAGTTGCAGCAGCAGCAACAGCAAGTAGCACAGAATCAGCAGCAGTTGCTTTCCACCCAAACCCAAGCCCAGTCTCTGGTGCCACCAGGACAGACACTCCCTGGACAAATTCCTTCCCAAGTTATGTCCGTTACATTCACACCACAACAACAGTTGAAGATGCTTCAGGTAATTTTCTGCAAAAACTGCAAGCTAGTTAAAAAAAAACTGTTTTTAAATATTTTACATTTTTAATTTAATACTTCTTGAAAGCTGGCCTCTTGTTTAATGGTGAGTGTGATTTTAGTGTGTTTACCCTTAGTGGGCCCCACTGCTGGTCTTCAGCAGCACTTGAAAGCAACATACTTTCCTGTCCCCACTCAGATGTGTGTTGTGCTGCACAGTGTAATTCTCAGCTGAGTGGAGTAAGGTGATAATGTTGCTTTTGAGGGCTGCTGATAAGATGCCTTGAAAATCACTAAGAGGAAGTGTGCTCACCCTTTAAAATTCAAATTTCCACTTTAGTATTTGTTTTTTTTGGGTAAAAATGTAACTCTATTTATTCTTTCTATTCTAAAAACTATCTTCTCTGTCAGCGGGGGTGAAAGTCTTGGCAGTCTAGATTTACATGGTCTTTGTGTATCAGGAACATTTTGTCATTAAAACTTCACAGGTTCTGTCAATTTCAGTCAGAAAGTAATATAAAATCAGGAATCAGAGCTTGCAATTGTAATGAGCAAATCTATCCACTCTATATTTACATTTATAATTACAAACCAGCCATTCATTTTTTTACGTCGCCGCTCTGGGATAGATTACATTGAAGTGGTTGTAAAGGTAGAAGGTTTATTATTACATTCTCTGGCATTGGCTCCTGCTGCTATCAAGAACAGCCAGTATGAAGATGGCGGGGCCAAGATGCAGCATGTGTGTGTGTATTTCCAGATGCACACAGCCCAGTACGGAAGTCCACACGTATGCCCCCATACAAATTGGTTAGCTATGGTGGCACATGGGGAAAAAAGAAGGCAAGAGCACCAGCTGCAGGGGACCCCAGAAGAGGAGGTTCAGGGCCATATTGTTCAAAACCATTGCACAGAGCAGGTATGTATAAAAAAAATTAACTTTATAACCTCTTAAGGACCAATTCACACTGCAGTGTTGGGCAGCACAGCTCTGCCCGACATTGCAGTGAATGAAGTGTACGTTTTATACACTTCACAGAAGTTTGTTCAGAACCAAAAAAAAGGGGAAGCCATGTACTGTGCTGAATCGCACATCACATTGCCCCCTAGCGCAGCCAGCAACGCACAGTGGCCAGAGCAGTGGAGTGCTCCTGCCGCTCTGTGCTGCAATGTGAATTTGCCCTGAAATTTTCAGGTGAACATTATATATCTCTCATTTTGGAGTGTTCATTTTAAACTGCAGCACATCAGTGTGAAAGCACCCTTAGGCTTCTTTCATGCGATTGGTCTGATTAGATCCACCTGTTTGTTTTTCAGGCAGACCCAATCGTACCCTCCATTCACCTCTGTGAAGTGACAGATGTAAACGGGCTTGTGTCTGTTTACACCTGCCTACCTCCAATCCAGTCTGCTAGAAAAAACAGGGGGAACCGTTCCCTTCCATCTGGGAAGATTGGATTGGAGGGCCCATAGAGTAGAGTGGGCTGTGTCCGTATCCGCTCTGCATATGCAGACTAGACATAGACCTGTCATCCGCCTACTTCGCTCATTGTGGCCTGTGACTGGTTACCAAGTCTCTTAAGTGGCCCCCGCTCTTCAAAAGGTTGGCCACCCCTTTAAGTACACTCAAAATCATGGTCCATATATAACATCATTAGGATGGCTGTAAATGCCTTGCTATTGATTGATTTTTTTATTTTTTTTTTATTTTTTAGTCAGTCACATGATCATTTTCCACTTGTGTAGCCAATTTGAAATACAGGGGTTGAGCACATTCCCTGTGTGTTTTGTCTTGAGTCCTTCACATGTCACTACAGTTTGTCTGTTGGCCATATCTGCACAGAGCAGATTAGTGCTCTGGTAGTCATGTGACTCGTATATTAAAAAAAAAAAAAATCATAAAATTGCATAAAAAAAAAAAGACCCTAGAAGTGATGCTTGATTGTTTTTATTAGCTGCCTATATTAAAAGTACAGTATTCTTTGTAATGAACTTGTTCTTTTAATACAGGGTGCAAATAAAAACAATCAAGAATTGCTTCTAGGGTCTTCATTGTTTTGCATATATTTAGATCATAAAATGATACAAAAAAAAAAAAAAAAAAAAGAATCTAAATATAGGCAAAATAACAAAACAAAAACACCATAGAAGTAATGCTTCATTGATTTTATTAAGCAAGATACCTGTGAACGAGACCTGATACAGTTTGTTATCAAGAATTAAACCATGCTCCTATAACACTCCTATAGCATTTATGATGTGTTTATGACATGTTTCATTGTGGTTGTAAAGCGTTAAAAACTCTTCAAGAATGCTTGCAAAATGCCCTCGGAAGTGTTGTTTTTTAATGTGAAGTGCTTAAAGGGGAAGTAATGTGGAAGAAATGATCTTAAGGTTTGGCTCTGCAAGATGGATTCTTACGCTTTTATCTCTTTGACACTTGGCTCGGTCCATCTGAGCTTTGCTGACAAAAAAAGCTTTGCCACTGGCAATAATGTTCAATGCACCTGTTCCTGTCTGGCACTGTCAGTATTGCTGGCTGGATGCTTTTTCCTGCACAAAGAAGTAAATGGTGTCATCACACAGCTGCTTTGTACAACTAGGTAGTGGCTGGCGCTGTGGTGTCCTAGTTCTCTTATTTACCAGTGTATCCTGGAATACAGAAGCCTCCACTGTGTCTTTCCCAATGCCCAGCTAACACTTCCTAACGCTTGCTAACAAATGCTTCATTAACATGCCGTAAGTGCTCTAGATGCTGATAAGGGGCAGTTGCAGAGACAAGTGTCTATGCTTCATGAAAGTTAGGTGCTGCCTAATTTTTTTCTTTTTTTTTGTACATTCTTTATTAAGGAAAGGGTTTCATCACATACATCAGTTGTGCAATCCCTCTCACTAGAGGAGTTTCCGTGAAAAACAATAATATGGTCCTGCAGTAGACAATTGGGTACAACACAACTTAACAATACATGTTACATTTTTGAATATTTTACATGACATAGTTCTATCACATGCTGATATATGGAGTTAGGTTGGTTATAATTTTGTGAGAAGACCCTGGTTTTTCATTGTGCAAGGAAGAAATGGTTTTAGGGTATCTGCGAAAGTACCACAATGTCTTAGTGCTATTTCATATACAGGTGAAACTCAAAAAATTAGAATATCGTGCAAAAGTTCAGTTATTTCAGTAATGCAACTTACAAGGTGAAACTAATATATGAGGTAGACTCATTACATGCAAAGCAAGATAGTTCAAGCTGTGATTTGTCATAATTGTGATGATTATGGCTTACAGCTCATGAAAACCCCAAATCCACAATCTCAGAAAATTTTGAATATTGTGAAAAGGTGCAATATTCTAGGCTCAAAGTGTCCCAGTCTAATCAGCTAATTAAGCCATAACACCTACAAAGGGTTCCTGAGCCCTTAAATGGTCTCTCAGTCTGGTTCAGTAGGAATCACAATCATGGGAAAGACTGCTGACCTGACAGTTGTGCAGAAAACCATAATTGACACCCTCCATAAGGAGGGAAAGCCTCAAAAGATAATTGCAAAAGAAGTTGGTTGTTCCCAAAGTGCTGTATCAAAGCACATTAATAGAAAGTTTTATGGAAGGGAAAAGTGTGGGAGAAAAAGGTGCACAAGCAGCAGGGATGACCGCAGCCTGGAGAGGATTGTCAGGAAAAGGCCATTCAAAAGTGTTGGGGACTTTCAGAAGGAGTGGACTGAGGCTGGAGTCAGTGCATCAAGAGCCACCACACATAGACTGATCCTGGACATGGGCTTCAAATGTCGTATTCCTCTTGTCAAGCTGCTCCTGAACAGCAAACAACGTCAGAAGCGTCTTACCTGGGCTAAAGAAAAACAGACCTAGTCTGTTGCTCAATGGTCCAAAGTCCTCTTTTCTGATGAGTGCAACTTTTGCATCTCATTTGGAAACCAAGGACCCAGAGTATGTAGGAAGAATGGAGAGACACAGACTGCAAGATGCTTGAAGTCCAGTGTGAAGTTTCCACAGTCTTTGTTGATTTGGGGAGCCATGTCATCTGCTGGTGTTGGTCCACTGTGCTTCATTAAGTCCAGGGTCAACGCAGCCGTCTACCAGGAGATTTTGGAGCACTTCATGCCTCCTTCCGCAGACGAGCTTTATGGGGATGCTGACTTAATTTTCCAGCAGGACTTGGCACCTGCCCACACTGCCAAAAGCACCAAAACCTGGTTCAATGACCGTGGGATTACTGTACTTGATTGGCCAGCAAACTCCCCTGACCTGAACCCCATAGAGAATCTATGGGACATTGCCAAGAGAAAGATGAGAGACATGAAACCGAACAATGCAGAAGAGCTGAAGGCCGCTATTGAAGCATCCTGGTCTTCCATAACACCTCAGCAGTGCCACAAGCTGATAGCTTCCATGCCACGCCGCATTGAGGCAGTAATTGCTGCAAAAGGGGCCCAAACCAAGTACTGAGTACATATGCATGCTTATACTTTTCAGAGGTCCGATATTGTTCTATGTACAATCCTTGTTTTATTGATTGCATGTAATATTCTAATTTTCTGAGATTGTGGATTTGGGGTTTTCATGAGCTGTAAGCCATAATCATCACAATTATGACAAATCACGGCTTGAACTATCTTGCTTTGCATGTAATGAGTCTATCTCTTATATTAGTGTCACCTTTTAAGTTGCATTACTGAAATAAATGAACTTTTGCACGATATTCTAATTTTTCGAGTTTCACCTGTATATGCGGATTGGATACGGTTTGAACCACATCCAATCTTCATAACATGTAATAAAACATTGTTTCCTATGGTGCCTGTTCACATATATCAGGTGCACTGGCGGTGCAGATTCAGTGCGGTTTGAAAAAGAGTCTTGTACGATTTCTGAGCAGTGCAGTCCGGTTCAGGTGCGGATTGCAGGCTATTGACATCTATGGGAACCATTTCTAAACCGCAGGATAATTCTGAGAGCTAATCCTGTCCTGAACCGAATGTAAA